CAAAGCGCTTTAACACTACATGACATCATTCACCCATTCACACCCATTCATACACTGATGACAGGAGAACCACACACAGTGACAACTGCCCATCAGTAACTAACATTCACACACTGTAGTCGCAGCTACAGGAGCAATGTTGGGTTAAGTGTCTTGCCCAAGGACACAACGACATGCGGGTTAGCAGAGCCTGGGATCGAACCCACAACCCTCTGATTGGAGGACGACCTGCTCCCCACTCACCCACAGTCGCCAAATAATGTATCCTCGTTATATATATTTTACTGCTAAACTTGATTTTTGATTACGGTGTCAGAACTTTGCTCTTAAAACATTTCTTTTGTTTGGGTAATAAATACTGCTGGTAGTTTGTCACAGAATAGATCAGGAATACACATCACGCCCTTAAAGCTGCACTAATCAAGAGTTCTTTTTTTGATGGAATCAATTGCTGAGTAAGTTTGTGTTAAAAGGATCCACACAAACACAGTTTGATACAGAGTATGAAGGGTGTTTTAGCACCTTCAGCTCATTGTCTTGGTTTCAAAGCCTCGGAGCTCTCATGAACACAATTACCTGCCATGAAATCCCAACGTGCACCGGCTGCACAGCACCAGAACATCAGAGCCAACAGGGGGCGACGCCTCCGATCCCATAGACGTCTATGAGATTACTCTGCTCCTCTCTTGGTTTATTCCTCACTGGCAATGTGAGTTTACGGTCTCAACCTCTAGCTTCAATTCAGCCTTCGGTTTCTTCTGTAAACGACGGTCCGTTTGGAGTCAAACGGAGCATAAACGCTTTAGGGCGGGGCTACATTTTGATTGGCACATCACCACCACGGCATTCCTAATTCTTTTCTTGTAACGTTACCTCCTCAACTACTTTCATTTGATGAAAGGTTATTACAACATGTTAGTTGCCTACACGTGACTTATTCAGCATTACTGACACATTTCTAAATACATGTTTGTAATTCTGTCACTGTATCCGTCGTTCCCTCCTCAGTGGATTCAGCAGGACATCGTGAGCTGTACAGAAACTAAGACCTGAATGTCTTCAATGTAACTCTTTAATGTTGGGAGCACAGCAAATGAAATCCCCTTCGTGTACATTGTAACAAATACAACCAAGACCGTCTTCATGGCTTGATAACACTTAGTGAGAGACAATGTTGCTCATTTGTGAAGGAATCATGAATGGAAGATTAAAAACATCTCAAATCCGTCTCTCCAGTCTGTTTTACGCTTCATGAGCAAAATGAACCCTGACACATTCGTCCCTGTCTGACAGTTCACCACTTGAGCCTCTCAAAGGGAATTATGTGGGATTAGCATGACGCCTTTACATGGATCCTGCTGCCATTTACATTCTGAGCCTCTCTGTGGGAAACGGAATATTGGAACATTGTTTCTTCTAATATACAAGAACAGAAACGGCATTGAAAGGTGTGTTAACCCACAGATGATGACGAGATGGAACGGCGCCATGGAACACGAGTTGAAACATCAACACGGACTGAGAAAGCCCCTCTGGTGACGTCGGGGGGGGGCAGAGACAGCGCTGTGAGCGGAAGACCAGGATTACTATTGAGAAAAACACAATCTTCACCTAGAATGGTTCAATATGACATTAAGGCTGTGATGTATTTCTCTAATGTTCTCTATTATTGAACCCCCCCCCCCCCTCATGAATCACACATTCCCTCTGTTATTGTCTCCGGGCCCTCGTGCACTGCAGCCCCCGCGGTCACGTTCCTCATGCAGAGGAATGGATGTGATGATCTGCTTTGCTATCCTGCTGTATTCTGCTGCTGGGAGACCAGGTCCCAGGTCACGCGTGCACTGAATAAAGTCAAAGAGGTGACGCTGCAAGTCACACGTGAAACTGTCACGAGCGTCTGCAGAGGAGCTACACAAACCAGACGAAAGATTTAAAGTGTAACACAAACGCGGTAAGCCACACACTGAAAAATAGAGGTCCCAGTTTGTACCTAAATCGGTACACATGCTTGTCACAGGGGAGGTTCCCTTTTGAGAGACAATTGTGTACCTTTCAGTCCTGGTCCATTTATGTACCAGTTCAAGTACAGTTGTGTACCCTGCAAGACATAAATGTACCTTTAATCTATAAGGTACAGCAATGTACCTCATTGAAAGGGTACTTTCCTGTCCTTTAAAAGGGTACCCCCCAGTGACAAGCTATTCTGGACTTTAAGGAGACAAAAATGTACCGGAATTGTCTACACAATAATTGCTTCTTTTTATTAACATCAATGAAAATGTATGTTTTGAGATAAACATGGCAGCATTTATAGTGTAAAAATCTTAATTTCTCTTAATTCTATATAGCTGCATATAAAATGAATCAATGTCAATGCATAACGTTACAATATGTAAAGATTGCAGTCACGTTAACATGAGGCAGAATACTTCAAAAAGTACCACACATTTAGATAGAACATACTTACACAGAATACCTCAAGGAAACATACAGTCTATCATCGACTAAATATGTGTGGAGAGCTTGATGGTCCAACTCATTTCCTGGACTGAGTCAAATCCAGTCATTGTCAGCGTGGTAAGCATGGAAGTGATTGTCATAAGAGCACGGCAGTAACAGTTTCCCACACAACACCCACAAGGTCTCAACCTTCAGAATGTACTTCATTTTCAAGAATAAAGGGATGGCTTCAGTGTGTCCATGACCTACTACCAAAATAATGTGTGTGTGTGTGCAGTTGAAGATGTGCTAGAGATAGATAGCAAGTAAAGGTTGCTACAGGTTGCTACAGTCTTTGTTATACTCAAATCGACTCAATTTATTTTATGAAACCCAAATTCTCAGATCAGAGATTTGCCGCGGAGGGCTTTACCGTCTGTACGCCTGCATCTCTGGCCCGGGACCCTCACAGCAGCACAGAGCAAAGCAATCATTTTATTTAGCTTTTAATTATCTAGAGCACTATACTTGTCATGCGGCTAAATCCATATGTTTGACAACGTAGTCGCAGGACTTCTTGGTCAAACTCGAATGTCCTGCATAGCATCATAGATATTAAATGAGATGATCACTAGTTGCCTGGAGGACTCTGCAGCTGTGTGAATGTTCCCTACGGGTTCTGACTCCCTCTGCAGCAGAGTTACCCTGAATATAAAATTTATGCTGTAATGAACAATCACAGCAGAGACACGCGTGTTTGAACACTACGAGACCAAAGCCGATGCGTGTGGATATCGCACACAGAACCACCGACCCAGCAGACGTGACTCATCTCTAAAAACAAAGCCCACGGTACCAAAAGGAAAGTCTTCCTCTCTGACTCACCGCAGCTAAATCAGCTGTAAAAGTGGCTCCTGCCGGCGGCGCCGGCGCCTCCCGGGCGTCTGCGACTGTAGACAGAATAATAAGAATAAACTGCATGGGCCTTCGAATGGGTCAAATGATGAGATCTGTTCGAAATGTGCCTTTGGACAGCAGACTAAAAGAAGTCGTCATGATCTCATGTTTAGCATTCTACTGCAAGTCCAGCTTTTAATCAATCACGCCAATTTAGGGAAATAACTTTGATTTAATTCTGTCACATCTACCAATTATTCCTAATGAGTTCAGCTCGGTGTGTAATACATCGCATGTTGACGACCTATTGTGCGTTTGTATGTTCGGCCCATTCTCCGGTACGCCTTGAGGAGCTTCTGTCCATTCTGTGACAAACATCCAACCTGAGCCCATCATCGACCACGGCGCCGTTATTCTAGTTTATCATGTAGTCATTGTATGTACAGTATTCCCTGTAATGATCCATGTAATCAGCCTTATATTCCACATGTTTCCATTGTTGCAGAAATAAAACATATTTATTGTCAACAACCGCGGCGTGGTGGTTTTCACTGTCGCCTCACAGCAGGAAGGTCCTGGTTCCACTCGGCCCAGCGGCCTTTCTGTGTGGAGTCTGCGTGTTCTCCTGCGTCTGCGTGGGTTCCCCCCGGGTTCTTCCCCCCACAGTCACAGGATGTGCGTGTGAATGGTTGTTGGTCTCTGTGTCAGGCAGTGTGGAGCCACGTATCTGACCCGTGGGACCCAGGTCTCTTTTGCACAAGCTTGTTGATCAAGATACTGGAATTCCGGTTTCAACACCATCGACTTACAGTCGTTTTGTAATTGAGACGTTCCATTTTTCACTAGCGACGACTCATCAGTCCGTTTCGTTTTTGTTGTGTTTAATAAACATTTAAAGTGTACTCTTCTATTTGACCCACCTCATATTTGCAAAAGCTTGTTGATCTAAAACCCTCAAACTCAACAACAGCAGGTTTACTTTGGACCTTATTATAGAATTATTATTATTAGTATTATTATTATGTTAACCTTAAAAGTGTCTTTTGAATTGTTAAAAGTGACAATCACCTGTAACCAACAATGAAAGGCCCCTTATTATTAAGGACATTAGTCCTTGTTAATAATCAAGAGAAATGAAAACAGTTTCCCCTTGATGAAGAAAATGACAATGTTGAATAAAATACACAGAGAAAAATGTATATTTCCGAATCTTTATTCTTTATTCTTTTACTAATCATAACCAACACCGTGTTGGGTGTGCGGGGGAAACCGGAGTGCCCGGAAAAACCCACACGGACGAATTATTTTTTTGCCAATTGTAAACCAAACCGTGTTTGGTGAGTGGGAGGAAACCGGAGGACCCGGAGAAAACCCACGCAGAATTGTGTCTAACCCCTAACCCCTAACCCCTGACCCCATAACCCCTAACCCCTGACCCCTAAACCCTAACCCCTGACCCCATAACGCCTAAACCCAAACCCTAACCCCTAACCCCATAACCCCTAACCCCTGACCCCTAACCCCTAACCCCTGACCCCATAACCCCTAAACCCTAACCCCTAACCCCTAACCCCTGACCCCATAACCCCTAAACCCTAAACCCTAACCCCTAACCCTAACCCCTGACCCCTAAACCCTAACCCCTAACCCCTGACCCCATAACCCCTAAGCCACAATTCTGCCCTGTGAGAGGGGAACCAACCCTAACACATCTGTGAACATTCTACATCTAATAAATATATGTCTATGTCTATATATAACAATATGATTTAGATTTAACTATTCTATACAATGGCACATTATATCACTATTATTATATCACATTTGTTCTTGGATGGTTTGCGGTTGGTTCACCTTTCACACCCCCCGCCCCCCCTTTCCCTTACATGTGGATACCGTGGACCCTGAAGTTGTAGAGGCACGTCTGCTCTTCATCCCCCCAGTTGCTCCGTATCTGCAGCTTCACGTGGCTGAAGACGTCTTCGACTGGGCTCTGGTCGGAGACGAGAGGGAGAAGTGAATGAAGGGAGTGACGCTTTGTGGCGGAGATACAAGTCTAGTTTAGACTCCACCTCCATGTGTGACAGTGAATGCAGCTACGAGCAGCGGAGGTCATGAGTGCTGCTCTGCTCGACCTCTGACATACTCACGGGAAGCTCAAAGGTCTGGGAGGCCGGGGCGTCCTGGTCGTACGTGAAGGTCCCCAGCCGGATGCCTTCCTCGTCCTCTTTCGCCATTCCCTGGAAGAGACGGAAGACAGAGACTTAGTCTTTCTTGTGACGGAACAACAGCAGCGAGGAGGCGGGACGCGTCCAGGAACACGTCTGACTCACGTAGACGGAGAACTCTTTCGGCGCGCTGTGGATTTCGCCGGTGAGGGACTGTTGCTTTGTGATGTGGCCGAGTGTGACGTGCGTGATCTTGACTGGGTGGGACAAGGAGACGACGGCGTGTCCTTCGGCCCCTGCGAAGCACCAGCGTTCTCTTGGAGACGGCCCGGCGCGATCCTGAGGACAGACAAAGTCAAGTTTCAGGTGACCCACGACGACCGGTGTCTCATTCGTTCATTACAAGACCGCCCTACCTGGATCAGTCTCTGGTGGTCTGTGGATGTCGTGAACCAAGAGAGCAGCTCATCCACCATCGTTTCTTTTCTCGTGGTCCTGAAGGTGTATGAGGACATGCGGGTGAGGACTCTGGCTCCTGCGAACAAGAGACACAAACACAAGGTTACAAACCACAACGCGTGGAACCTGACGAGATGACGATGAAGGCCACGGCGAGGACTCACCCTGCGACTCTTGGGCGAAGTTTGCCATGTTGTCTGCGACGGGGTTCAAGCGGCTCACCAGCTGCGAGAGCGCCGTTATCTGCTGCCGGGCGTCACACAGCTGGATGCTGAGGTGGGCGTACTGCGTCACTGCTGAGGGGACACAACGCAGGCACGTTGAGACAGGCCCGGTTTGACGGGACGGACACGCATGAGAGAAATGACCGAGGCAGAAACTCACCGCCCGCAAACAGCAGCATGAGGAGGAAATACATGAGCGTCGTTTTCCAGTTTCCCCTGATCTTCACGTTGACTTTCATCTCCCGTCTTTTGGCCGTCTTGGGGGCGGGCTTTGGTCTTGGGGGCGGGCTTTGGACACAGGCCACTTCCTGGTCTGTGTCTGCGTCTTCAGTGTCGTCGCGGTGTGTCGACTCCTGACGAAGTTCCGGGGTCGTGGTGGCAGGTCGACCCCAGGGGAAGAGATACCTCAATATCCTAAAAGAGGCGCAGGACGTTAGTGACGACTCGGCGTGGAGGAGACACAATGCTGCTCGCAAACTCACCGTCCCAGGACGCCCGGAGCAGCTGGCGGAGCCTCCGCGCTGCAAAGGGCTTTTTTCCCAAAAAGGGCGTCTGTTATTCTCTGCATGGCTGGAAAAAGGTGGAAACACGAAGCGGCGAATCATCAGCAACACACGTTGATACGAGTAGGAACGTTCTCATCATTAAATAAATCATACAGCATCAAGAACTGAAACTGTGTTCAGGTTTTTGACATTTTTTCAAGGCTGGAACGGGTCAGTCTGAGATAAACTGTTTACCGCCTGCAGCTTGGCTGGTAACTCACTTGTTCTTTCTTTGTGGTGAAGAGAAGAATCTGTAGAAATCGGCGTGTCCTGTGCGATCGGTCCACTGAGCACAAATGATCGATTCTTGTGAGCTTTTGCTTTTGTAGGCATGAAGGATTCCATCATAGAACCTGAGAAGAGAGCCACAGAATCCCACCGTTATTCTAAAGAACATTCCACAATTCTATATTCTAATTGGTTTAGATCACAGGAATGTGGCTCCTGACGTAACTGAATGTATGAACTCTTACACGTTATCAATACAGTTTAATTTAAAAATTATTTTGCCTTTTGCCCAGCAATTCCAAGTTCCAAGAAAATTAACTCATTGTTAAAAAAAAATTTACAAGAAAATTCACCAAATATGCAAACGGAAGGTCTTCAATATTACTCTAAATCACAAACTCAATAGATATTTACTTAAAATGTCCCAAATCCTTGTCTGGTTTAATGGTTTAATGATCAGAAAAGACATTTGAAAGTGTATTTCATTTCAGAATGAAGTATAAATACAATGGTTTTGTTTAAAATGCAAAGTAAAGTAAAGTGTACAATCCACCTCCACGTATAATCAGACAGACTTGAGAATCGACTCCATCTTGAGATTTGGGACTTGTTTATGATCCTTAGTGATACATTGATACGCATAATCTACATTATCAATACGCTCCCATCAGTCTCAGGCTATCAATCACTTCTTTTGACATCCTTTATTGAAGGAAAGTCAACTTGACCGTTACTGGACGCGGAAGGAAGCTTCTTTTTGTTCAGGGGTCCCACCTCAGTTCTCCCTATCATGTATGTAACCCTAACCCTAACCCCTAACCCTAACCCCATAACGCATCACGAGGCGATGTCTTCTGAACAGTGAACATCTCGCCTGTGTAGAGGGAAGCAACGGCCTCCCTCAACAAACACCGGGAATAAATCCTCTTCATTAAATGTGTGTGTTTTGTCACCAATATGTGAGCAAAGATGTTGATTCTCTACAGAAGGCGATTCGTTTATCTTGAGGTTTAATGCGTCAACACGTCCTATTTCACTTACGTACCTGGTAGATGAAGCATCGGTCTATAAGGTCCTTGTTGAGAAATAAAGGACCCTAAATATCAGGGCCTCAAACGGACGGCCCCCTCATGTTATGTGACCCGCAATTCTTTTATATCCATTTAAACCACTCCTTAATAATGAATAAATAATAATAAATAATGTCAAAGGTCAAAGGTGACATGACCGGTCAGTTTGGGGTAAGAAGAGAGCAGGTTACGTGAGGCTTAGTCAGTTGTTTGGCGGCCGAAAAGAAAGTGGAAGATGAACACGGACAGTTTCAAGATAAATGGATGTCCCGGTATTTTTTTTTTTAGTTTAATGGAAATGCTACTTGCCTGATATGCAACGGAAAGGTCTCTGTTTTAAAGGAATCTCAAGCGTCATTACTCGGCTGAACACGGAGCACAGTGTGAAAAGCACCAGGGAGACGAGAGGAAGAAACGGAGGAGGATCAGGAAACATTTATTACCAAAATATGCCAAACATACAAGGAATTTGTCTTGGCGGCGATAATGTTCAGGAGCTGAACATCAGCTCCATCACCAAGAAGGCTCAGCAGAGGTTGTTCTTCCTGAGGCAGCTGAAGAAATTCAACCTGCCAAAGACGATGATGGTGCACTTCTACACGGCCATCATGGAGTCCATCCTCTGCTCCTCCATCACCGTCTGGTACGCTGCAGCCACAGCCAAGGACAAGGGCAGGCTGCAGCGTGTCATCCGCTCTGCAGAGAGGCTGATCGGCTGCAATCTGCCGTCCCTGCAGGACTTGTTCGCTTCCAGGTCTCTGAAGCAGCCTCGCCATGTTGGCCTCACCATTCATGATGATGTGGTGCAGCAGCAGCAACGATGTCTGCAGGGAAAACTTTCCCGTTAAATGAAATGTCCAGATATATGAGATCATTTAAAAGCATGCACACCAGTAATTTTTGGTTCAAGTACAATGTTTCAATAAGTTATTAAAAAAATGGGGCAAAAGGAAAAAATATTTGCACTGTTAAAAATTAATCTAAAGATTTTGAGAAAATGCTGGGTGCGTTTTTTGTTAAGAATGCGGAAAATATGTTAGTAATGTAAAAACACACTTTCTTGCAGTACTTGAATGTTGGCAAACCAAATTGAGTTTGAGACGCCAACCGTCAGAGACGAAGCATTCCCTAACCCCTAACCATTAACGAAAAACCAGGAGGACGGTGCAGTTCGCTGACTCGCTAAAGACGCTAACGTTAGCTCGTCTTTCCAGAGAATCAGTGGAGGCACCGAATCAATGCAATACGGTCTGCGATCATTTACCAGCTTGGGGTTAAAACAGCAGTTGGAGCATCGTTTGAGGGAGAGATCATGATAACTAACTAGCTCACTGTGTTCATCTCTGGCTCTAAATTCATTCAACGCATAGCTGTGCTGCTGTGAGTGTGAACCAGAGGTGGCTGGTGATACCTGGACATCATGTCCCCTTCGTCCATCACTGCCGGCGGGCACGGAACAGGAAGTCGGGGAGGGGAGTGTGGTTGACTGTTAGCCAATGACAATCCCCCAATGCAGCTTTCTCCACCCAGAGTGTCACTAAATGTGACAGCATCAGCATAGAAACCCAAAGTTAAAACAGAGCTCCCTCACTCCGTCTTCACACCACCATAATCCTTAAAAATGAAACCTTAATCATTTTAAATCAGTTATTATACGTTCAGATTCAATTCTCTGTCCCTGTTGGAGTTCCACTGGCTGGAGGAGTGAATGTGTTCTCTGAAGCTGCAGCCTCTTCAGCGCTGTGGAATTACTCTCCTTCCTTCACTCATACAGCCGCTTCTGCTCCTGAACACATGAATGTAGTGCAAAGTACTCCTGTCAGTCACTTCACTGCCTTTTCTCTACATCCTAATCGTCAGTTTCTCAATTTTACACATTTTATCCTCTGCTCCATTCATCCATCGGCAAAATAAACGGTTTGATTCAAATGAAAGATGCTTATTTTAGAGTAAATGCAGCATTTTGTCCGTACATCATCAGTACGTTTATGTCAGAGATCGGCTGAGACCAGAAGCTCCGTTCTCTGCAGACATCAACAGGATATCCTACTATGATGGTGAGGTGATGTCCCGAGAGGTCTGGTCCTCATGGGAGGTACGTTCCCACCCGGTGGTCTGCAGCAGAACTACCGGGTCCGAGGCGGAATGAGGAGCCGAGGGTTTGAAGAGCAGAAAAGGAGAGGAGTCGAGGGAAGAAGGAGACAGGATGACGTCAGGAGGAACGAGAATTAGAACAGCAGAGATTTATGTTGATTCGTTGTCCGTTCCTGTCGTAGGACGGAACCTCCTCACAAGATAATGAACCGGTGGTTTGGGTTCACAGAGTTAACCACACGTTTCCCGAGGCCGTGCCCTCCACTTCCCAGTGTGCCCAGCTGGTCTGAGGATGATGAGTCAGCGTTGGATTTTACAACTGGTATATTTCCTGTTTTCCTGTTTCCTGTTTCCAGGTCTTGTTCGGACATCATTCCCCTGACTTTGCATCGTCATTGAGGAGCATCAGTAAGCTGACAATGTCATGGGTTCTAAAGTGAAACCTGAGAGACGGGTGATGCTCTCTGCCTCGATTCTCAGAAACAGGAGACATAGAGTGGAGGTGAGCAACAGGCTTCTGGCTGTGTTTGTCTCAGTGATCCAAAAGCACTTAGCTGGTTCCATCACTCGTGCCGCTGCTGTAGGCTTCTCGTATGCTACCACACCCCGTCCATAATCATTAGCACGGGGCTAAAAGCCCAACATCAAGGCTCCAACGAGGTGAGAGGGAAGAAGTTGCTATCGATTGCCGTATTACAAGATGGAGTTGTCTTCTCACTAACTGGTGAGATGTTTCCTTTACCACAACCTCAAGGAGGGTTAATTAAGACCTGAAGCCGCTGAAACAGCAGCAATCAGGAAAGTCATGAAACTCTCGCTGCAGTTGTTGGATCATGTCCCAAATGTATATGAGACGTTATACACAGAGCGGCTTGTCTTCTCCGTCTCGTATGTGCAGCACATCCGATCCCTGTTTACCGGGGGACACAGAGGACACACAGGACCTCTGCTGCCACGCAAACAAACACAGGAGCTGCGTAATAAGATCTTACAGTTAAATCAATAATGCATCTGTTTGTACCGACACAACTCCGTGCTCAATGTGCTTCCGTGTTTGAGTCTGTTTACTCGCTTGATTTATTTTTGGAGTTACCAGATCATTTGGCTTCTTTCTCCCCCCCCCCGGCTGATCTGAAGACTTCAGGTACGAGGATTTTGCATTTGTGCATGCAGCGTATTTACGTTCGCTCACCAGCTAGCGGCCGAGCTAACGGCCCACAGACAACACATGTGGCTCACTGAGCTGCTGATGTCGCTGCTCTCACACATCATGTCCGTGGACGGAGAGCAGAGTGCATAAAAACAAGATTAAAACCAGTCAAAAGTCACATCGAGAGCACGAGAAGACGTCCAGAGCAGCGTCTGTACGTCCTCAATGACTGCAGGTGAATTGACTCATATGGACCCAGAGGGTGTAACAGGAGCTTTGGTCTCCTTAGACGAGGCAGTGAGACCGCGAGACCGCGTCTCTCCTGGGCGTTCTCTAGTGTGTCCTCACGTGAGTCCGGCCTCCCGCTGTGCTGCACCTCCTCTTCGATGCCATCGGGGGCCGCGGAACTGATCCCAGTCGCCCCGAGCGTTAGCACGCTGCCGGGACACACACACACACACACACACACACACACACACTCACACACTCACACAGACCCGCAACAGAACACACGCGCTCTGATCGCCGGCCGCGTGGAGGCCACCTGGGCCATCTGTCTTCTGTGTCGCTGTCTTCTGAGTGGTAAGCGTCTCAATGACCTTCTCAGTGGGCCTGTGGTGGGCGCAGGGAGGGGCGCTCCACATGGCAACAGGCATGACGACGTACACGCGTGATGACAGCTTCCCGTCAGTCAAGTCAATAGTCGATTGTTTGTAGCAGAAGGTTTGCGGTTAGACAGTAAATGTGGTAAGTCCACCTCCCCAGGTAAGGAACACCTCAGCCATGGTCTCACGGTC